TACTGTCTTTCCAAATGAGGGACATATAAGATTTTGGACCCAAGCCTCAAACAATGCTCTTTGTATTCCATAAATCTAACAATTATATTAATTGTGAGGCTTTTTATGATTCTTATGAGAGAATATGAATGGAGATGAGTGTGTGTTTGGGAAATGGGACAAATCCCTAGCACATACAGTATATGAGGAGTCATGGAAGCGTGGTGATGTCATGCAGCTGCCTTGATAATGCCAGGAGGTAATTTTACATCAGGGCACATTTACTAGGATATAGTTATAACTACATTAATTATATGAAATAAGCACAAGAGGGGCGCCTTTCCTGGTGCAGATCACTTTTATTTCAATAAACATAAATAAAAAAACGAATCATACTCACAAACATGAGTGTCACAAAGTCATGAGGTGGGGACTGACAAGCAGTGAGATGTCCACTAGGTGATACCAGTATAGTGGTGACGTTACAATCATTATATACTTAATCTTTTACAAAGCCAGAGTAATAAGGTAAACAAGATGAGATTATTTCTGTACTTAAGCTATTCTTCATTCTTTCAGTATAGGAAAAGAAACATCAACTTACATATTAAAATACATACAAATATCCTTGAATTTATGGATTTTTTTCTTTTATCAAACTGCTTGTAAATGTAAGGCTTACAAATTACTTATGAATTTCAGTTTTAGTGTTTCTAAGTAGTTTAATTTGATTTCTCATTAGCCACTGGATTTAGCTCCACTGTAAATGCACAATTAATTATTAAAGCTTTGAAAGCTAAAAGAAAACTACTTTCAACAATCATTCTATTTCAGCAGTGAGATTATTTTGGACTTAAAATAATGTACTACTAAGATATCCTTTTAATTGATGAAGTCAAAGACCCGACTGGAATCATCTTTCCATTACGTGGCAAATACATTTTTGATCGATTCACTAAATGTGTAAAAGCACACTGTATATTTTTGCTCTCATTGATCTGACCACTATATTACAGTTACGGTGCAAATATAAGCATTATTTGAAAATTAAAATGATATATGCTTTATATTCCATCTCAGTATGGCCAGACCCAACCCTCAGCCACCCAAATATGCCTAGATTTGTAGATAAAACTCAACATATTTGAAGGACCCATTTCTTCTTAGTAGTCCATGAATCAAGACTGTTAATAATACATAAATTATTGCTATATTGGACATGTTTCAGCTTTTGTAAATGTAATGGCATTCCCGTTTGTATTATCAGTAAAATTTAACTTAAAGGAGAACTATGGGGTTAGGGCTTTTCCCCATAGTTCTACTTAGGGTAACGGGAAGACACAAACTAGCGTCCTCCCGTCACCCTAAGCTCAGTATACCGCGCGCTACAGCACGCGGTATACTGAGACGGATCAGCTCAAGCGGATCCCGGCAATTATGTCTGGATCCGCCGAGCTGCGTGAGTGACAGCTGGCTCTGCCTATCTAGAGGCAGAGCCAGCTGTACCTGCCCCCTCCCCGTCCGTTCCGCCAGTCAGCGCTGGAGGATCGGAGTGGGGAGGGGGGAATCCAGCCCCTCCCCTGTCACGGCAGAGAGCTGTGGCAGGATCGAGAAGTGATCGAACGCCGGTATGTGTTTGCTCACTTCCTGATCTACTGAGCCGACCTGTGACAGTCTCATTGTCACAGGTCGGCTAGAACTATGAGGTGAGTGAAAAGCATTCACCTCATAGTTCTCCTTTAAAGTATAAATATAATATTGTATAATATGTACAGATAGTACTAATATTGGATCTGTGCTTTTTATTCATTGTAAGCCAATATCAGGCTTAGCTTGAATGATACCTGGTGCTGAACAGTAAAGGCAACCTATTACCTCACTAAGAAGGAAGTGTAGCAATGTGTGCATTTCTGTCAATTATCTGAACCTCCTTAACCATAATGACTGTCACATACTGTATATCTTTTGGCTTTATTGGTTGTTTACAATATAGCAGTAGAAAGATTTAAAAAAAACTGATTAAACCTAAAAATGGGATAAAATAATCTTCCCCTGAGCTTCCAGGTGCAGAATAAAGTAAATATTGTGGTGGTTTACTATAGGGTATCATAATATGGCATCCTGGAGTCTAGGAGACTAGGAGATCTGTAGCAATATTTTATCTTTTTGTAGTGCCCTAGTTATAGAATGCATAATAATTATGTGTATTGTGTGTATTATCTGTATTTTTGCATTTCCTAATATCTCATAATAAATGTACTAGAACATTTAATCCCTGGCCACCAGCCTACCTTAACCCTGTGCCTGGTCTTATCTCACATACAATAAAAAAACATGCCACATAGGTAGGCTCTCTACCTTTCATAGTCTGAAAATCAAGACCGCCCTGTAAAATTGGGTATGTATTTATCTAATCTAATAAAAGTAAATCATTTGGGTAGGCCAACAGTTGTCCCTTCTCATATCTTACACAGAAAACTTTAGTGGTCCTGTCTGGATGTGTACCATTTTGTCGCATATAATGTAAGCATGTAAGCACAAAGCAAAAGGATTGGCAACCCATGTGTATGCCCCCCTAATCTCCTAAATGCACTGCAGTAATGGTCCTGACTAGTGGTTTTTAATCTCTTTTTTGGCAAAGGTACACCAAAGAAGGTAAGTTGCCCTACTGATCTATCCTTCAGTAAAGAAGTTGCAGCCACATTCAAAATTAGTTTGCGCTAAAATAATAAGACATAAACAAATCCTATTGTTTTAGTGCTAATTAACTTTGTATGTGGCAAAAACGTGTTTACAGTTGGACAAACTTCACATTGCAAAAGCTGCCCCTCGAGCCTGCTATGTCTAAACTGCAGAAGCCATGTCACCTGGGAGATAGCCCATAGCCTTGTGTAAGCTCTAGCCAGAGTCACTTGGGACTTACAAAAGGCTTCTTTAAGCTCATGCAGATGAACAAAGTGATAGGTTAATAAAGGGAATAAGCAGCTAAAGAAACAAGGGGTGGTGGCAGGTTAATCTGTTGTTTTTTAAGGCCAGCTTCACCAGATAACAATTGCTTTTGTGTTTTTGAAGGAACATTCAATCACATGATGATGTTTTATCTTTTAAGAAATCATGTGTGGAGATATTCTGACCAGAATTTCTGTGGACTTTCACAACCAGTATAACAAATTCTTCATAATGTAAAATAAACAAAGCTCCATTTGTAAAAGCAAAACACCACTGCTAAAGCCCTGTGTGGGAAGATGAACGGTTTTTCACTGAAGTTCCTACTCTGTCACATTTAGCCACAGTTGGCCTTTAATAGAATGCCATGCATATTAAAAAAAAATATTGTGTAAATGAATTAAAAAAAACAACACCATGAGCAGATGTTCACTTTAAAATCAGTATCAATCACTATGAATTTAAGTGCAAACGTGATCCTACTTGTCACAATTTTAGATTTAAATTATGAATTCTAAGATGTAGGATTAACCAAATGCCAAATGTTGGACAAGATTAAATGTACCTGCTGTTTTAATATGTCTTAAAACAATCAATTTAAAATGTAATTTTCTTGTGACCTGCAGGTCAGAATGAGATTTTACAGTGTAGAAGCTCTTCCATTTAATTAAATAATGTCAGCATACAAATTCTAAGCCAGAGTGCATCATTCTGATTTTCATTTCTGTTTTGTTTTCTTCATTTTAAAGGACCATTATAACAAAATATGTTGTACTATAACTATATGGAGGTAATACATGTAATGATAGTATTCAGTATGTTCATTTATTTTTTGTTTCATAATTTTTATCCCCTGTCACTGTTGCTGGGCAATTTTGTGTGTGTGTGTGTGTGTGTGTGTGTGTGTGTGTGTGTGTGTGTGTGTATAATGAGGTAAATAGTTCATATAATCAATACAGTTTTCAGAATACAAACTGTTTCATGGTAATACACTTTGGAAACCTGTTGGGATAAAAAGGTGTACTGAAAGTTCTTAATCAGCATGCTTGTTCCAGGTCTTATTAAGTAGAGAACACTCACAGTTCACTGCCCAGTCATTTTATACCTAGCAAAGGGAAGTGCAAGTGTTGAGGTCATTTCACATCAAGTGCTCAATGGTCATTTCATATCAAGTGCACAATGATAACTTTCTTTTAATAGCTCATGACATGTTGCATTCACATTCCGTATAGAGTATCTACAAATGTATGTAACTTGAACCTTTGATTTTATTAAAATCTTTTAAAAAACTATTTTAATTAGGTCCCCTTTGCTGGATAGCAGAATTGAGTGCTGGGGAGTGTTCTACTGTGCAAGTGCTATATATTACCCTCCCACACTACCTCCCTTTCCTAGTTTTAAATTGAGTGAGTGGTTGCATGCATCTGATCTGTGAAGGATTTGCCAAAGGTTGCATCCTGTCATAATGAACAACTGTGATTTAAAGTGTATGGATATAATAATAGATATCTTAGTCTTCTGATATATGCTGTAATATATAGGTATTCAATGTGTTAGGAATAGAAATTCAACTATTTGGTGCAACAAACATGAAATCTCCATTAATGGGATTTTAATGCCAAACTCCAAAGGAATCATTATATTTCCATTTACTTTCTTCCTGTTAACAAAACAGCAGTTTTAAGAAATGTGTAGTTTCTAGTTGATTGTAATCACAAGGTAACACACAATACACATGGTACTGTATGTCCTGTACCTGGGAGAAACATTTCAATATTACCTGGCACCTTGTGCGCCTCATGTGTATTTTGCAAATGTTTGATTATATTTGTTTGCTTATGAGACAATCATTCTTATGAAACTCTGTAGGACCAAGTAGGATGTCAAAAGCCTGTAGGACACTTGATGTCAATCCATAATGTTAGAATTATTTATTTTTCTAAAGAAACAATGGTGTTGTTGGCTTACACTAATTGCATCCAAGTGAACGTTTGTTGAATGAAAAAAAAATTTCAACACATTTTGTATTTTTTTGTACCCCTTATTAACAATGGTAATCCTACTTCTGTACACAGGTCAGTCTACCAAATGATCCCAGCTTTGTTGAAGAAATCTTACGGGTAAGTTAGAACATTTTGTAATACAAACGATTTGGAAATGTATTTATGTATATATGTTAAGGCCGGAAAATGTACACTTTGCGCTGTTTTTTTCTGTTTTAACAAATGCACCCTAAATGTCTCCATATTCAACAAATTAAACATATCACTAATGACAGACTTTAAAACTGGGCCCCCCCCTCCACTACAAGGTATAACTGCTGGTTTTGCCTTGGGGAGGGATGATGAATAAGATGATGTGCCTAGCTTATTTTTCACCACTGCAGGTTTTTTCTGCTTCATGCAAAGTCTCTTCCCTTTGCTGCCTGGTTGCTGCGCTCTGATGTAATCCTTAGCAATGCAGGACCAGCAATTGTGCATTGTATGGGAGGACACTAAAGGCCCATCCACATTCTCAAGTGTTGGGACAGTGGAAGAGAGCACCGGCTACCTGGAGAGTGAGGAATAAAGTAAGTATTTCACCTTACTCATCCTTCACTAGGCAGCGTTGCGGTGGAGGGGGGGGGGTGTTTTCCTGGGGTTCAGATTTAACTTTAAATGAATGATGATATGACGGGGTGAAACTCTGGCACTAAGAAGGGAAAGATACAGTAGATCACAATACCTGTTTTTCTGTGCAGTTGTTTCACATTAGCAAGGGGCTTGACTAAACTTGCTCCCCCACCCACCACAGAAAAAGCAAAAACAACAGAGATTTCAGGTAGAAGGAACACAGATGACTCTGTTCTAGAGTGTGATATGTCTTTCTTGCCTTTATGCCAAAAGTTATGTTATATATATGTTATGATGGTGCAGAAAGTGGGGATGTGTATGATCCTTGGAGATCCACAGGCTTTTTCATAAGTAAACAACAGGCTCAATATAATGGCCATCCAAAACTGGATCTATACATGTGTGTGCAGTGGTATAAACCCCTCCTAATCTCAAAACTATATGTAACCACAACAAAATGTCTTGTACCCCCATTTACATCAATAGAATACATCAATTGTACAAAAATTAATAAATTGCAATACATCAAATACAGTGCCAAAGTGTTCGATGAGTAAGTGATGAGCAACCAATAGAGTGAACCAAGTCCTCAAAAAGTCTTCAATGTGGATCAAACCATACAGCTGTGTGATGATTAATAATGTCACAAAGTCCAGCACTGAATCCAATCTTCGATGTGGGCACCCTTTAGAAAGCAGCTCACTTTACTGATACACCAGATAGAAATAAAGTCTAATATTGCAGATCCTTTTTGGAGCCGGGAAGGATATCACCCCTATAAGGAGCCTCTTGATGTTGCTAATCCCCATTTGTCTCCTTCTCCGTATCCAGGTTATCATGAGTACCATGAGTAAAGTAAAGCAAATTCCAAAGCGTTCACAGTATGAAAAAAGGTGAACTTTATTAACCACTTGCCGTCCGCCCGTTGTGAAAAAACGGACGGACGGCAAACTCACATGGGTGGGTTGCCGTAATTTGACGGCTTTTTTTTCTGCTTGCGCACTCTATACCTGGCCTGGGTCTCTTGATTTTGACATACAGATTTCACTAAAGGTAACTTTCTTAAGTATGTATTCAGTATATGCTTAGGCTTCAACATTTGGCACAATGACTGTAGACCATTAAAGTAGATCTTCATAATGACACTTCAGCAGCTTACCAGGCTAAATGTATTGCCCTTTTTATTAAAAGCAGTCAGGAACCAACCGTATATATGTGCAAAGTTATGAATGTAAAGCTTATTTTTTTATATATTTATGTATCAATATTAATTGTTTTGATTTATAAAGCTCTCATCTATCTATCTATCTATCTATCTATCTATCTATCTATCTATCTATCTATCTATCTATCTATCTATCTATCTATCCATCCAGTGACGGACATTGTATGCATAGTTTGTTCTTAAATTTAGCCTAGTAAATTTAATGCAACCCAAGCATATAATGCAGATATATAACTGTGTTATGTCGTAGTAGCTGTGAAAGGGTTATTATATCATCAAAGAAAAGAGGCCTTTAAATTAAAGTTTCAATTAACTATGTGCTCAGAGTCATCCTTCCTTGTGTCCTGTCGGCTGGCTGCAATAACCCCGCACTCTATAAATATATATCAACAGCCAAAAAATACCCTTGACAGTTGAAATTACATGTGCAATTTCCATTTTTGTGTGCTGTTTAAGCCACTAATGGATTTAATCAGCCCCATCTCTATGTGATGTGACTGTTTCGTGTAACACAATTAGCAGGTAGCGACCTTTATTTGCTCCTCTATAATTTTACCCTGTAAAATAGAAACTGACATTAAGGAAGATGCTCAATTTTGGTCCCAGTAACGGTGATATAAGAAGGTAAAGCTGTCCATTGAGGTTACTAATCCACTCCGTAGCTGACAAGCACTTTAAATATTTTCATATGGATTCTGGAGGAAGGGAGGGAGCTGGAAACTGGTGTACATGATGTGAATTGAAATTCATAATACAGACGTCACTGGAAAAGTGAGTAACAAGCTGAAAGGCCTAGTGAATCATGTTGACCTGCCAAATGGAGGAGCACTTTGGGGAGGAGATGATGTCAAACAGTCGTAACTTAGCAACCTGGCATTATGCTGTCAAGAGACTAGTAAGAAAAGGAAGGCATTTTTTGAAAAGATCTGTAAATAAAGGAATAATTGAATTCCTAAATATCTTAAGTTTGCTACAAAAGAGCTTTGCATCTTTTTGGCTTTATTTTGAACATGAGGGTTTGGATTTACTGTTTGTTTCTCAGCTGGGAAAAATGGACTTCAAACTAACATCACTTGTCCACTTACATGGGGTATTTTTTTCCTCTCAGCAATCCATGAAATGCATGACATGAATTATTAGCTATGGTGAAGGAAACCTATGGTTTATCTGAAATCTGTTAGCATTTAGATTCCTTTTCTGCACACATGTTTTATGAACTACAATAACGCTTATTGTTAGAACAGTCTTTGTTACAAAGCCATTTGTCAATAATCCTAATAACATAAAGCTACAGCAGCAGAAAATGGCTGCCACTCACATGTCAGAGCCAGGACAGTGGAGGCTATTAAGTGGTTTGAAGACAATTTAATAGACAATGCAATGCTCATGTTATTTAGACAGCAAACATTACAAAGGTACTTTTGTGTGTTTTACACAGTGCTAGTGTTTTAACCAATCTAGTAAATGTCTATTGTTGAGTTTCTAATCATGAAGTATAACATTGTTCTGTGTTTTAGCTTTTGCAGAGTTTATTTCTTTTTATTTATGAATCTCCTGCTACTCAGGATTGGTTAAAGAGCATTTAAACCCATGAGCAAAAATCCAATATATTTTAACTTACCACTTACCTTAGATGAGTTGGCAATATTAGGGGTTTTTTTAGTCTTTTTTTCCCTAATTTTTACCTGGTGATCCTGCCAGTAACACACTTTCCTGTCTTACGGAGACAACACTCACTCACTGTACTTTATTAATGGAGAAGCATGTTGTCATCTTAAAAAAGGAAGCTTGTTAAGAATACCAGACACCCCCTCCTCTTCTCCATATCAGAGAGGGAAGTGTTTTGTAGTCCACATGAAGAACTGTGAATAATGCAATGTATATTTAATTTTGGATGTGCTTCCTTTTAACTATTGTGATATTCCTGTTATTTTTTTTAAGTCTGAAATGTAGACTTTTTTTCCAACTCATTAAAAAAAGTTTACATTTTATTTTAAAAAAAGCTTCATATAATCCCCTTTACATCAGAAATTTTAGCACAGTGAATTAATAAGACCCATCTTCTTTGCACAGTACTTTCAATCTAAAATGTATAAGGTTACTTTGCACTAAAGGGGTGGGTGGTAAAGCAGCCTACAGGTAGAGGAGTACAGTGGGAATACCTCAGACCATTTTTGTTGAAAAAGTTAGTTCACTGGCTGTCTTGCTGATCCTTCCCCTATATTATGTATCCAAGTTATTGATCCAGAATAAGTATAAAGCTGTTCAATAACTTCCTACCTTCTAAAGCAGGGGGATCAACCAAGAATGACAACATAGGCATTTGCTTTGTGGCTCCCTTTAAAAGAGATGTGAAAGTACTATAACTAAAAAATTACTTGCTTTCCTAGTCTAAGAATTATGTACACAAGAAGTATGTACCTCCTTAGTCCCAGATTATTTTCTAACATCTGGCTTCTTTGTTGCCTGATTACTGTGCAGTCAACACATGTACAATGATTTTAGGTCAGAAATCAGTTTCAGAAAAAGTGTTAGACAAAATTTTAAATAGAATTGGCAGAGAGCGGCCGAAATGTTTATTTCTCCTCTTGCTGGTGCATATAAAATACATGCCAGGCCTGTCTAATAGGAGGAACGATTCAAATATGCATCAAGGTTAAGGAAGAAATTGGATGCACTTGAGCATCACTGTGTAAAAAACACAACAGTAATTTCCATGCAGTTTACATAATGGGAACACACTTTTTTCCAAGCCAAGGAACATTGGTTCAAATCAAGATACATTATAAATAGGCAGCGGCCAGAATATTTTTCAAGTTCCTCTATAGCTGTAAGCAAAATACAGGTAAGCAGGGATTTTTTTTAGCCAATGATAAAAACCGAATTGTTTGTTTTGTTTAAAACAAATTACAGCAAAGCCATAGTTATAGGAATCCCTAGCATTAAAATATACCTAAAGGCAAAACTTGTTTCTTAGATTTGGATAGAGCAGTGACCGAATAGAAACACTGCCAGACTTTTATTGCTGCTTGTGTTCCTGTTAGGGAGATTTACACTCTCTAATTGTCCTGATCCCCACTGTCCCTGGTTATGAAGGTGAGGGTAAATCCAAAATTTTGAGTTGCCACCAGAACAGTAAAAGAAGGGAAATCTTCTAAATGGAGACACAGATGGCAATAAAAACTGACTGCAGTATTAACCTTATCATATCTAAAATGGAAAATAACACTTTGGCATTAGATATGCATTAAATGGCACAGCGACGCACTCTAATTGAACAGGG